ATAAAACTCTGTCTATACTCTAATAAAAAGTTCCCCAGGCCAAAGAGGTCACCTTAATACCAAAAAAAAAAAAAAAATTAAAAAATTGGATATTGAAAATGAAAGTACAAAATTTTTATAAGAAATTATATGAACTTCCTTCAAAAATTTTATCGCATGTTAAATATGTGAAAAAATCATCACTCCAATTTTGTACTTGCAATTATATTCTGTTTTTAGTATTGATTATTGAGGCTTTTGTCATATTAATAATTTGGCAGTTAAGTAATTTTCAGTTTTCCCAATTGATACATAGAAGCTCAAATTGATCTTTATCGATTTTGCTGATTATCTAGAGTAAAAAAACATTCATATTTGTATGCTGAGCCTTACATGCCAATTGTGCATAGAACTTTTGGAGTCGGCCAATCTGAAACTTTGTATATGTCTATGATTCAAAATATAAAAGTTTTTATTGCTGAAATAATGGCTAGAAGTTGTGGATTCGGGCACACAGATTATGGTGAGTTAGTTCCATATTAAAGACAATTATAGAGTATAAATATTTTTAACTTTTGAACAATTGTTATGCAGAAATTATGCAAACAAAAGTTGCTTCCTAAATCTTGCTAGTGATTGAGTGTGTTGCTTTGTATATGTCTACAATATCAGATTGTAAAGATTTTATCACAGTAATAATAAATAGAATCTGTCCAAATTCACTGTATCGCATTAAACATATCAAATAGCTTTACATGATCAAAACAAGAACTTTCATGTGTAGTGAATAGATTCGGTTAGGTATCTGTAATTGATAAATAGTAGTCAAAGAAAGCTTAAGATTTAAACTGCCTGATAGCTAAACTGATTTTATTGTCATGTGCTATATATAAAAGTAGAAATAGGAAAGATTAATATTTCACTGCATCCACTACATCCATCTATAAAGATCTTAAATAAATTTTTTTCACATCATAACCTACCTTATATTTTCTATATAAAAATTTATTCGTTCATTTAATATGTAAGTAGTTTAACAAGTAGAAAAATTTATTATAAAAATTATTAAGATTTTTTTTTTCAGATCAGTATGATGCAGAACAACACAAAGAGCAGAAAGGATTGGAAAAGCAAATTTATAGAAAATGTTTTGGTTTCAAAATCCATAAACCTCGATTATCCTCTTTTACCTTCATCTGATTCGAGAGATCCTACAGAATGAGAAAAACATCGTCAAAATCTAATCAAATACATTGAAGATTTACAATATTTTGGACAACTTTTTAATGATCTAGAATTTATGAAAAATTTATTCAGAACATATAAAAAGGATGAAGATATTATTAAAGATTTCATAAAGTCCTTTGAATATGATATAAATGGAACATATACTGTAAAACAAAAGAAAAATCAACGTTATAAAAATTATGCAACAAATTTGCTTCTATCATTTAAAAAAATTAATAATGAAAATGAAAGAAAAGAGTTCTTCATTAATGCAAAGTTTCCGATTTCTACTTTGTATAACCAAGATATAGATCCAATTATTAATGAATTTTTTAAAAAAAAGGTAAATACCAAAAACTAAATTTGAAAACTTGACTCAATGTGCATAATTCATTAAGTCTAAAATTATTTAGGATCTCCAAGGATTGAATTAATTTTAAAATACATTTTTATTATAGATAATTTTAAAATCTTAAGAATATTAATAGTTTCTGAAATAAGCTACATATATGTAATAAGACCTTAAAAATAAACATAATAATATTTAAGGCTTGACGTTGTATACGGTCACAGAATCCAGACAACAGAATCAAAATTTTACAAAGAAATAGATGAAGCCTGTCTTAGGTGTTTTGTGTAATTGCCTGAAGAACTATAGTCAAACCTCCTAAATGCTACTCCCTAAGTACACGTCCTATAAAACACCTCCCTAAATGCATGTCTTCTCTTGGGTCCAACTAATATTACATCTATAGATTTTTACCTCCCTAAATGCAATACCTCTCTAAGTGCACGTTTGACTAAATTTTTATATATAGTCCTATCGCATTGCATTTAGGGAAATCTGACTGTATATTACAACTATACAAAGCTCGTCTTAGAAGTTATATGTAAATTTTCTCATTAATATCAAACAAGAAATCTGCTCAATCACCGTTAAAATTGGGCATCAAAAATCTTCACATAAGACACGAGACGTGATGCTAAATCATTATATGAAAAAACATTATGACATATGAGTCTTTACCTTGAAATCATTATTCCAACACTTCCAATCAGACTAATTCGGACAAAATTTTTCAAGGCAAAAATGCTATACATAGACAAATCTTGTCTTTGATGTTTTTAGTATTGTTAGCTTGTTTAGGCTTAGTAGTTATGTACTACAACTCGCCAGTCAAAAAAATCTTACTATGCATAGACAAAACTTGTCTTATGTAATTTTCCCACTAACAAATAAACCTGCACATAGACAACGTTCGTCTTATGAATTCTTTGTAATCTAAGGCACCAATCAAAATAAATATTACTATACATAGACAAATCTCGTCTTAGACATTTCTAGTATTAAACTCATTTGGGCTTGGTAATCATATACTACAAGTAACCAATAGACTTCTTAATTAAATATTTTTATCTATTCGTCTATCCTGTTATTCATTTGCATATTAACTACCAGGAAGTAAGTATAAAATTTTATCATAAAATAAATCATCAATCGAATTCTCTATTAAATATTTTTATCTATTTGGCTATCCTGTTATTCATTTACACATTAACTACTAGGGAGTAAGTATAAAATTTTATCAGTCAAAAAAATCTTACTATGCATAGACGAAACTTGTCTTAGGAGTTAATTGTGTAATTTTCTCACTACAACAAATAAACCTGCACATAGACAACGTTCGTCTTATGAATTCTTTGTAATCTAAGGCACCAATCAAAATAAATAGTACTATACATAGACATCCAGTCAAAAGAAATATTACTATACATAGACGAAGCTTGTATTAGATTAGAGATTTGAACTAAATCTTAAACAGATAATTACTGTAATATAAATAATCTATGGGTTTTAAAGTAACTTGTAGATTATTTATATTATATATATAGACATCGTTCTTCTTATAAATTCTTTGTGATGTTCTAGTATTAGACTTGTTTAGATCAAGTCAACAAAAATCTTACTATATATAGACGAAATTTGTCTTAGAAGTTAATTGTGTGATTTTCTCACTACTAACAAAAAAACCTACACATAGACAACGTTCGTCTTATGAATTCTTTGTATTCTAAAGCACTAATCAAAATAAATATTACCACGCATAGACAAATCTCATTTTAGACGTTTCTAGTATTATTAAACTTGTTTAGGCTTGGTAATCATGTAATACAAGTTACAAATCCAAAGAAATATTATTATACATAGATAAAGCTTTGTATTATCAACAAATAAACCTCCACATTTGTCTTATAAATTCTTTGTAACTAAGACATCAATCAAAATAAGTATTACTATGCATGGACGAAGTTCGTCTTAAGGAGTTACAGTTTCATCTATATATAGTAAAAATTTTTTAACATATGTATGACGAACGTTGTCTTTGTGCATAGTAAGATTTTTTTGACTGGTTACTCCGGCCTGTCTCAGAACCCACAGTCTATCGAAACGCCCTTAAAGTTTCACTTTTTATTAAAGATAAATTAATTGGTGAATATTATTGCAATCAGAAGCAAGAACATCTCTTGACTTTATTAGCAGACTTTTCGAAGCGTCACAATAATAACAGTAGAACTTAATTATAATTACTTATTTAAGTTTTATCAAATGACTTTTCGAAGCGCCCAAGTTTCACAGTAGGCTTGATTATAATTATTTATTAAAGTTTTATCAAATAGTTTTTACTATTTATTTTTATGTGATTATTTAGAATGCCTTATCCTGTCACATGCGTAGCTTATTTGCTGACCTAAACAAGTTTTCACAGTGCATCAATCTGGTCCAGCCCAATTGGTCTCTAAACCAACAGTCATTTTGAAACAGGTTCCGACTGGTCTTTTTGTGTCTTATTTAAATCGGAATGAGAACTAAGCAAATTTTCTAACTTGTCGTGATTTATCTACAATATGTTCCTTTATTTTTTTTTCATATAATATCGAATAATTTTTATATCTTTATGGAAGACCACATAAATAAATTATCTAGAATATATCTTCACTAAAAATGCTATAGTACGCAAGGAATTGAATATGTTTTTTCGATAATTAAAGGAAAGTTAAAAATGTGTTATTTTTTTGTTATTTGTTTATATATTCATTTATATACTTTTTACAAATAATTTATAAGCCGGCTTATTTTTAAAAATTAATGAAGATTGTGTCTCGATAAGGCCGTTCATTATAATTGTTATTCTAATAGGCCGGTGTAGTATTAATGAAGACTGTGTCTTGGTGAGGCCGTTCGTTATTACTACAAGTGTTTATAATTGTCTTGTATGATGATATATAAAATCCGAAAATTCTGAGATATACAACAATTACTTCATAATTTATTTAATACAAAATTGAGATTAACACAAACATTCTTAATTATTCTTCTATATCCATATGGTTGATGAAAGCATTTTGTCTTGTCAACATCGGCAGTAGAATAGGCATTCCTAAGATCAGAAGCATAAATAAATAAGAAAATTAACAAATTAGTAAAGAATATTTTACCTCTTTCCCTTAGTACTGCACTATAGTATTCTACTCTTTCCTGTAAATTGCTTATTTGTACATTTTGACTAGCAATCCTATTCTCGCCAAGCCTTCTCATGATTGCAAGATCCTGATTAAGATGTTAGTTGTCATCGCAAAGTTCACTGATTTCTCGTTGGGCTCCTCCTACTATTCCTTCTACCACGACATGACTTAGAAGTTAGTTTTCATAGCGCAGTCTATTGATTTCTTGTTGGCGTCTTGAATTTCTTTCTTGATGGTTTCTTAACATCGGTCTTGAATTTCCTAATAACTAGTATTAGTAATTAAGAATATTATCAAGTTGATAAAGAATATATTACCCCCTCTATGTCTTTCTAATTAATCTTGTTAATTTCTTATTCGTATATTTTGATTAGCAATCGTAATCCCGTTAAAGTTTCTCGCAATTTCGAGGTGATAACTAAGGCGTTGGTTTTGATCGCGAAGTCTAGTGATTTCTTGTTGGTGCTCTTCAACCAGATTTTTAAATTGATTCCTTTCTCTGTGAAGATTTCTTATTAATTGAGCCGCGAATATTTGTATAATTTTATTTTTGTCTATGCTCTTTTTAAATTCATTTCTTTCTTCAATAAGTTTGTCTATACGCTCCTTTAATTCATCTCTTTCATTAATGATTTTTTCTAATTCTTCCAAATTTGTTTCTAAATTTTCGCCGTTTATTCCATTTTCTTTGAAGAACTGTTCAACTCGTTTTTTTTCCCTCTGTAAGTATTTGATGTGTTTGGTAAGAAAATTATCAAGCTCCTCTTTCGGAGTCAAATCGTTGGAACGAAGATAACGTTGATATTTCGCGCGAGTCATAGTTTTCGGTTGCTTTAGTTTCGAGATTTCAAGAAGTCGATTATAAAGTATTTATACTTATACCATTAATAAATAATAGCAATTAAATATATAATTTAATATAAAAATATACTTAAATTAAAATGTTCTGTAAGATGTAATTGTTTATTTCTTTATTAATAACCTATATATATACAATCACTTGCATAAATTGAAAGAATTCCGGTCTATATTGAAGTTTGTGTATTACCTTGACTGATCTTAGATCGTTATACTCATTTGGATCTGAACAATCACGAGATGCACGTTTGTCACACCACGTAATTAGCCAATTACAGGTAAAAATCATACAATATACGCGTTATTCTTGAAATAGAAATAAATATATGTATATATATCGATAAAGTAAATTTTATATAATTTCTATAATTTTTATACAATATTGCAAAGTAATGCATATAATCCAGTTTTCATTCTTGAAATTGAAATATTTTAAAAACCGGTTTTATAACTATTAAATATCGATGAAAATCATGTAATTTCTATAATTTTGCATTACATAAACCGGAATTAAACTTAAAATTGTAGTTTTTATATTGGTGCCAAATTTGGCTTAAATACATATATTTTGTAAGTTTTCATATCAATATACAAAAATTCATTTGATATCGATATTGTATAATTCAAAAAAAAGATAATCTCTTAGTCAATTGCCATAACCTCTATAGACAGTTCGAATTTTCGATCTTTTTTTAGTGCATCACGTAAACAAAATAGAATTTCATGTGATTTTCCACACCAGAAAAGATTGTAAATTCTAAAGTATAGTTATGTATATAAATCTACATCAGATATAATCAGTATTAGATATGATTTTTTTAAAAATTTTTAAATCTTTGAATAAAAATATCTTAATAATTATATATCAAATTCAATAAAACCTTTTTTATTTAAATTATATTAACTTATAAAATTATAATAAAAAAATTTTTATCAAATTTAGAGTTGGGATCCTATAGTTTAGTAGTCTAAGTACTTAATTTTCTATAAGCAGGATTCAGATTCAAGTTCTACTAAAAGCAGTTTTTAAGAATATTTGAATATACTTACCATGAAAAAGTTCAAGTAAAGTACTAGTTTAGAATAGAAATTTCTAGAAAGAGGTCTATTGTAGAGAAAGTTGGCACTATATGTAGTTGCGGCACTACAGAAGGTTCTAATATAGAAAGGTTGTATATATAAATCCTTGGTGTGATGTACAAGGTAGCACCAACAACTCTAAGCAGTCTTGAGATCTTGGTTAGAAAAGTAACACAACTATATTCAAATTGGAAGTAGTGAGAAATGTGGTAAACACAAAGATCTGTAGTAAAGAATTGGTCTTACTAAATTAGAAATACCTCTAATACATACTACTTGTCTAATTTAGAAAAAAATAAACCCTTATAAAGAGTTGGCTAAAACTTCAAGTATATATAAAAAACTAAAATAGCTAGAAGCACTGGGCTAGAAGTGTAGTAATATATGTATGAGAGGAGAATATTAGCAAATTTAAATATTAAGCAACTAATTTGAAAGTGTTACAATACACAAGTTCCAATTAGATCTATACTTCTAATATCTTATAATCTAAAATATTGGGGCAATAAAAATACCAAATATATTTGAAGGAAATCCTAAAACAATTTGAAAAAACTGTTTTATAAAAGCTATCACTAGAAGTGAAAGCACATATCTCTATGCCTATAGCAAGTCTCTACTAACATATGGAAGTATCTGTTATCAAAATTTGGCAATATATATAATACATATATGATGTCAAGAAACTAGAGCTATACTAGATACAAAAAATTAAATGTGGCATTATTACAGCCCTGATTTAACCAAGTTTGGAAGTAACTATAAAATTACAAGGCCCTCCTCTTGAAGAAATACCAACTTTAGAAGTTGTATGTAGTAAATATAAGAGAAGTAGAGAATATATGATATAGTAATGAATATAAATTAGAATATAGTAGCTAAATTCAGATTGTTATAATGTGGAATATAGAATATTCTGGTAGGTTTAGATTGCAAATAGTTTAAGGCCTATTTAAGTCATTCATATATTTGCAAAAAATAAATATACATATATTACATAATATATATATATTATAGTAGTAAAAGTTATAAAGCAAGACCTCATCTTAATACCAAAAAAAAAAAAATTTTTTATCAAATTTAGTTAGATAGTTATTAAGATAACTTCACTTAAAATTAATTTTTTTTCTAATTTTGAATAAAAATATCTTGATATCTATTAAACCAAATTTAATAAAACTTTTTTTATTTGAATTTTCTAGATTTATAAAATTTAAATAAAAAATTTTTATTAAATTTAGGCAAGTAGTTGTCAAGATATCTATGTTCAAATTAGAGAAAAATTTGCTATAACTTCTATTTTGATAGATATTTTAATTTTTTTAACTTTGAGCAATAATATCTTAACAACCACCTAATTAAATTTGATTAAAATTTTTTTATTCAAATTTTATAAACTTATAAGATTCAAATACAAAAATTTTAATGAATTGGGTTAATAGTTGTCAAGTTATCTTTAATCAAATATTTAAAAACAATATTTATTTTTGATTTTTATATCTTGACAAATATCTAACTAAATTCTATGAAAATTTTTTTATTCAAATTCTATATATTTATAGAATTCAAACAAAAAAAAATTATCAAATTTGGTTTGATAGTTGTTAAAATATCTTCAATAAAAGTTAAAAAAAATTGATACAACTTTTATTTTATAGGCAGTTTGATTTTTTTTTAACTTTGAATGAAAATATTTTGATAATTATCTAACTAAATTTGATGAAAATTTTTTATTTAACATTATAAATCCATAAATTTAAATAAAAAAATATTAATTAAGTTTGGTTTGATAGTTATTAAAATATCTTCATTTAAAGTTTTGAAAATTCTTAAATATATAGTTACATAATAGATTACTTTGACCTAGATCAAAATAGAATTAGTCTAATTTTTAAATTTAATTTTAAAGTATATGATTTAATAATTAAAGTTCTACAAAATATTATTATTTTCTATATAGTATTATTAAACTGGTATTAGTAAAAAAATATATATACTTAAAACTATATATACTACAAAAATAGGTTTTTAAAAATAGCCTATTTTGTCTTTACTAGAGCAAATTAAATTTTTTTATAAGAAAGAGCAAATCTAATTTATATAATTATATTCTTTATAATTTTGTTTATTCAAAAAAAGTATCAAAAAATTTTATCTTTTAAATAAAGATAAGTTAAACCAATTTCGTCTTCAAATTTTAATTTCAAGTTTTAAAGCCCAAAAAAATTTTATCCTTATCTATACTTAAAATAAATATAATTTTATTAAAAATTTTTTATTATTATATTAAAACTTATTGTTTAAATTTTTTATTTTAATAATTATTAAAATTGCTAATTGCTTGTTAAGTTGTCTAAATTATCTAAAAAATAGTTATTGTTTATTTTTCTGATTATTATTTTTCTAACAAGACCATTTCTTAATATTATATAAGATTAAAGTAAATATTTTTATTAGTTATAGATTTATAGTTAAACCTCTCTAAATGCATAGCCTTGGGTGGCCAAAAAATCTTGCATTTAGAGAGATATTGCATTTAGAAAGGTAAAAATCTATAAGTGTTATATAAGTTGAGGCCAAACAAGGCCATATATTTAGAGAGACTATGTATTTAGAGAATATGTATTTAGGAAGGTTTAACTGTATACTATTAAAATATTATATATAATAATCAACATAGTAGGCTTTTATAATAATTGGCCAATTTTTATAGATTATCTTGTAATATTATAAAAATTTTATTGATTGATTGAAAATTAATAAAAATATCAAATTATAAATAAAAAAAAATTAATATATAGAAAATAATTATATCTATAATTAAATTAATACTAGCAAAAGTCTTTACTATAAAATTTTAATAATTTAAATCTAAAATTATAATCTTTTTATAAACAAAATTAGACAAAATCAGAAAAACTCCAATAAACCAAAATTTTATTAAAAAACTTTAATATATTACAAATTAAAGAAAAAAAAAAAAAACAAAAAATAAAAAATACAAAAAATAAATAATTAAATTCAACCTAAAATACTAATAAACAATAAAAAAAAAATACTAAAAATAACTTATAATATTTGCTCTAATATTAAACTAATTAATTTTATTTAACAATTATTACAAGATTAAAGTATTATTATAGTATTTTTTTTTTAACTCTTTTTATAAAATCTATTATCCTTATAGTGCTTAATTTTATATTATTAATATATATTATAAACAGGTTTTTTTATTAGTTAAGATCACAAAAAATAAGTTTTTACAAACAAAAAATAGCTTAAATTGTTGAGTTTGATTAATTTATTATATCTATATAAAAGTTTAATCCAAATAAATCTATTATCTATTTATCTGTATTTGAATTTATCCAGATATCCATTTACTATTAGTATTTAGATAATCTGACAAATATTTAGATAATTATCTAGATATTAATAGTAAAATGGATATCCAAATAAATTCAGATCTGGATATCTAATAGATAAATAGATAATAAATAGAAACTCTATATCTATAGACTAATTTTAAATATCTAAAAAGGCCAAACTTGATACCAAATAAAAACAAAAAAGCACTTTCTGGTCTATATACTATTAAAGTAATTTGGTAATTCACAAAGTAATTTAGAAGTTAGATGAGAAGTAAATTTATCTTTGTGGTTGCCAAACTATTTTTGTAACTACAAAATATTATGCCACTATATGAAATATATTATATAATATTTTGTATTAATTATCTAATTAAGTAAAGCCTACTATATTGTATAAAAGTTTGCTAATACATAACTTTAAACCAATTACAACACAGAATCAGGTATAATATAAAAACAAAACAAACTGCTAGCTTTTTCAAAAAATTGTCTATAACTTAAAATTTTTTT